GAATTATTTTTTGAAGGATCACTGAAGAAATATATCAAAAATAACTTTTGAATGGTATTGTATGTAAATGTATGTTCTGGCTTACCACTTTGCATGTGGAATTAATTTTCATAAATGCTTCAGTATTAAAATTCTAGGTTGTTTGCACATAATTCCTTTCTTACAATGAAAAGCACAAACTGATGTATTTTTACAGACAGAGTTCCGGTTCTACTGGCTGCAGTCTAAAGTGGAAGAGGTTGAAGGTCTTTCTGAAATTTCCCAGATTAATCCTGTAAGTGAGCAAAATAGCTGCATCTGTTAACAAAGCTGAACTTTGAGCTGAAGTACTTGGTTCATGGTCCGTTCTCTCTCTCTCTTTCTCTGCAGTTCCGGTTTGTGGGTCTGAACAGCATCAGCTGTTCAACAGAGTCCATCCAGATGGCTCTTGCACATGAGTACAACTTTACAGTAAGAACGTCTGTTATTTGACATGCTAAGTCTATAAAGCTGGATACGAGGGGGCTTTTACTAGCAGAATTATGTAACTTACTAGAAAAGTACACTGTTTTAAAATATTTCTGCTTCAAACTGTATTTAATGATTATAGTGCTGTCAAATGATTAATCGCATCCAAAATAAGTTTTTGTTTACATAATATTTGTGTTATTCTTTATATTTTTCTCTAATATTATGATATTTATTTTTCGTCTATTATTATACATTTATTTTCCTATATACATATATATACAGACACACACACACACACATATATATATGTGTATGTATACATTTTGTGTAACATTTAGTGCTGTCAAACAATTAATTGCAATTAATCACATCCAAAATAAAAGTTTGTTTACATAATATGTGTGTGCTGTCTAAATTTATTATGTATAAATACACACACAGTATATATTTTGAAAATATATACATGTATTTACATGTATATATTTATATTAATTTAACTTATATTTTCTATAAATATATTTAATATATAAACATATTTTTCTTAAATATACACATGCATGTGTGTGTATTTATCTATACATAACAAATATACACAGTGCACACACATTACGTAAACAAAAACTTCTTTTGGATGCGATTAATTGCGATTAATCGTTTGACAGCACTACATAATTATGGTATTACTTTTTTTCCTATTTAAAGCTGCAGAAACTTTATATTTTAGACTTTTAGGGACTTTTTTAATTTACACACATGCTCCTAAATACGTTTTATAGTTTGCACATCTATTTTTGGTTGCAAATGCGAGTGAGACTCGCACTGTGTTTTTCTCTTCTAGGTGGACGGGCTTCTTTTCTACCACAAGGAGACCCACTACACCCCTGGCAGCACGCCGTTGGTCGGCTGGCTCAGACCCTATATGGTGGTAGATATCTTGGGCATCGAGGTGCCACAGTGTCCCCTCACCAGCAAGCCTGATTATGCCAGCCATCAGCTTCAGCAGATCCTGGAGCACAAGAAAACCTCTACAGAAGTTCGTCCGGCCGACCAAAATGGCCGATATGAACTGGAACACCTGTCCACACCAGAGACACAGCTGGAGAAGTCTCACAGCGCTCAGAAAGAGAGCATGGATGTCTGAGGACTTCTGCATGAACTGTTTTAGAGAGCACTTTTCTCAAGTCTCTGCATGACCACGAAGATTATCACATTTCAGGAGAACACTGATGTTAATGAGTTTTTAATTGCTATATTTGAAATTGCAATTCAGTTCTAGGTAACTCCGGTGGAACTATTTCTGCAACCATAATCGCAAAAATGAAACTATTCTGCTTTTTTGCAGATATTATTTTAGGAAACATATAGGTTTAAATGATAGTAGACCCTCATGCTCTGCTGTATTCACATACTCTGTTTAGTCACGCCTCTTCATTGGATTTTATATATAGCTTTTTAATTCGATCTTTTCTGTAGAAGATGAGATCATTAAGATTCAGCTGGTGAAGAAGCCTATGGATAGTTTTTTTAAATTTGTGTTATGACTTCAATAAAGTTTTACTGTCTGTTTTGTTTATCACTTTGTTTAAAATATTTTTGAATGTCTGAAATTTTCTTGCTTATAAACCCACATTGACGAAAGTTTGGGGTTAGTACATTTTATTATTATTATTAATTTATTTTAAGAAATTAAAGATTTAAAAAAATATATTTTATTTTTTTCATTTAATTTTTAATCTTTTATTTAGCAAGGATACATTAAATTGATCAAAAGTGACTGTCACAAATGTTTAAATGTCTTTTTAAACTTTCCATTCATCAAAGAATCATAAAAAAAAGTATCGGTTTCCACAAAATATTAAGCAACACAACTGTTTTTGACTTTGATAAGAAATGCTTGTTGAGCAGCAAATCAGAATGATTTCTGAAGAATCGTGTGACACTGAAGACTAGAGTATTGATGCTGAAAATTCAGCTTTATATCACAGGAATAAATTACATTATAAAGTATATTCAAATAAAAACAGTTCTTTTAAATTATAATTTCACAATATTACTGTTTTTATTGTGTTTTTGATCGAATAAATGAAGTCACAGTGAGCATAAGACTTCTTTCAAAAACTTTAAAAAATCATTCCAACCACAAACGTCTGAACAGTATCGTATTATATATATTATACAATTATTAGAAAATAATATAATTAGTTATATAAGTTATAATATAGTTAATAGATAAAATATTGTTTGATCTATACAAACAGACATGTATAAAACAATAACAAGGGTTTTTAACTACTAAATAATGTCTCAGCAACATTGTAACAGCACAGAGTTTTTAGCTTTGCCAAGGAAAGGCTGGCATCATCAAAATCTCTTCTGGTTGAATGTCAAACACCTCAAACACAGATGTGCAGGCGGTTATAGTGAGGCTGCTTTCGTTGATTTGAACCCACTAGGTCACTTAGTTCAGCAGAAAACCATAATCGGGTAATCGGAGAGTTTGGTTATTAGTCACTCAGTAGCTGCTTTCCAGGAACTCGCAGCACCTGTCAGCCCAGATCAGACTTCCCGGATCACTCATGACCGACATTGAGTAAGACCTGTCAATCAATAAAGTACGTCAACAGCCTAGGCCTACTCAAAACATAAATTGTGCCAAAAATGCTCTCTAGTTTTTGAGACGTGCATGATTTGCAGCTTCTCAAATCCAGTTTTGCCTGACTTCGAGATGTTTTTGTGTGTATAGTTTAGTTTGGGGCTCACTGTGAGTGTGAATTTCCTCTCTGAAAGTGAAAGCACTTGTGTGCATTTTTCCAGCATGATGTCATGCATGCTCTCCTGTCAGTCATTCTAGCCCGTGGAAAGCCGCCCACAGGAAGCTCTTTGTTGTTTTATCGGCTCAGCTTCTTGGCAGATTTTCTTGCGTCAGGTTTAAACAGTAAAAAATTTACACCCTTGCACCCAGAATGATATCTGTACAGAATGGAAACTTTCAGTTAAAAATACTGACATCAAATATTGCTGTGATCTATATTTAGCTGTAGTTTAAGAACAAAATTGACCTCAAAAATAAGCTAAATGTTTTATATTTTGCAGGTCCCCAATATATCTATGTATATATACACATTTTACTAAACAACAATGTAGTTAAATATTTTATTCTAAATATATATCTTATTTTGAACTGTTGTTCTATAAGTACAAAAATAGAATGGGGGGTTTATGTAAATCTAAATATATTTTAAAATCTTTAAACTATTTGATAGAGAAAAAGGACAACAAAAAAAGAGCGCCAACCAAGCGTCCCACAGGTGGGACGGTGACAGTTAAGGGGTTTTAACTTAGAAAACGTACTTTTAGTTAGTTATGAAAACATTAGAATATGTCATCATTTACATAACTAAATAAATGTGTGTGTGTGTGTGTTGTTTATGCTACATTACATTGTACATACAAGGATAGTAAAACCTGAAATTTTTGACATTGTGGAGGGGGAAAAATCATTAAAGATAGTAAATGATGTTTACCTGAAAGTGTAACAATGCAAACAGGTTTTCTGTAAGGGGTAGGTTTAGGGTTAGTTGAAAATCTAAAAATGCAGAAAGTTTCCTGTGAGGGGTAGGTTTAGGGGTAGGGTTGGTGTAGGGCAATAGAATATAGGGTCTGTACAGTAGAAAAATCATTACGCCTATGGAGAGTCCCCACAAAGTAGCAAACCAGACGTGTGTGTGTGTGTGTGTGCGCGTTTTTGTGACAAATGAGGACATAAATTTGTATAATGACAAAGGTATGACATCGGTATTACAAGGAGAAGGTGACTTTTCAGGACATTACCCCATGTCCCCACTTTTCAAAACGGTTATAAATCGCACAGAATGGAGTGTATTGAAAATCTGAAATAGCACAAAGTTTCCTGTGAGGGGTAGGTTTAGGGGTAGAGTTGGTGTAGGGCAATAGAATATACGGTCTTTACAGTAGAAAAACCATTACGCCTATGGAGAGTCCCCACAAGGATAGCTGATCACATATGTGTGTGTGTGTGTGTGTGTGTGTGTGTGTGTGTGTGTGTGTGTGTGTGTGAACGAAGTCCGATTCGCAAATGAATTCTTAAATATTTGAAATCATCATGATTTGGAAACATATCAAATCATATTAAGTTATATACAAGTCTCGGTTATCCTTTTTGTTATATATAAACAAAAAGGATAACCGAGACTTGTCATAGCACTTGCATATTATTGCTTTTTTGTTGGTTTTGATTGCTTCTATTGTCATCATTTGTAAGTCGCTTTGGATAAAAGCGTCTGTTAAATGACTAAATGTAAATGTAAAACTAAATATGTATTTCACTAGACAAATAACCCGTACAGGAACTCCTCTAAATACTTAAAACATAAATTAAAAAAAATACAAAAAAGAATCCGTTTTTGAACAAGTTCACTGAAAGGAGCCGTCCGAACGAACCGATTCGCTCCAATGACTCTGACTCCTCTAGGTTTTTATGAATGGAGAGGAGGAGCGTCGTCCAGTTTGCAGTTCTCCATTGTGGCCAGCAGAGGAAGCGTCATCTTTCATCTTTCACTGCTGCTGCTTTTCAGGAGCGTCTGATCTTCACTCGCCTTCTCGCGTTAAAGCGTCTAAAAGCTCCCGGATGACGCGGAGCCGATCGTTTAATATAATATCATACCTTCAAACAAACGAACCGGCCTTCGACGAGTTTCGACGGAGCACCGTGATGAATTTCTCCCGTCGTCACACAGGCGGGCGGACCGAAGCTCCGCTGGAGCACCATTAGTGTATGTGTGTAAAAAAAAAAATATATATATTTATACATATATATATGTGGATCCAACCGAACCGGGACCGGATCATGAACGCGCCGTGCTGAAGTGGTGGGCCTCTCGAGCGGAAAACGGCGCGAGTCTCGCGCTGCTGCTGTTAGCCTGATCGCTGCTAACGGGCCTAAAAAAGCCCGGTCTGATCTCTACAGTCCGATCTAAACAGCTGTGTGAGCGTTAATAAGATCCTCCAGCGGGAGAGCAGAGGATGGCCAGCCGCCTGAGCGCCGATGAGGAGCAGGTATGAAATACCGTTACAATCCGGTTAACGCTGATTCTCTGTTCCAGCGGTTCTGTTGCTAAGCAACCCCGGGACACTGTCCGGTAGACTAGAACAACCTTACAGTGGTTTACCGTGGTAATCTTAGTTTAGACCAAAGTACCTTGTTATCAGAGTTATGGGTACGGTTTTTATTGAATTAAAGGCAGTTCGACAAAAATAGGAAAGAAAAATATGAAAAACATCAGGTAAAAATAGTAAACCTTTAAAATTAATACTTATTAGATTACAAAAAAGTAAACATGAAAATGTTTTTCAAACTGTATGTAACTATTTTAATAAGTCATAAATAATATATTATAAACAGTATTGTAACTTTGTTTAACATTATAAAAACATTTTAATTAGTGCTTTCAAAAGATTAATCGCATCCCAAATAAATGTTTTTGTTTACGAAATATATGTGTGTGTACTGTGTATATTTATTATGTAGCTTATATATAAATACACACACATACAGTATATGTTTTGAAAATGCAGGCATGTTCATAACACTAAATGAGAAATGGAGGACAAATCTCATTGGTTAACCAGTATTTCCCACGACTCAAAATTGATGCGGGGCAAACTTACCCACAACATAAGGGTTAAACATGCAAGAAGCTTCTAGAATCGTTCTTATTTTGTTTCAGAATCAGAATTGTTTTAACTTTAAAGGATTAGTTCATCTACAAATGCAAAAGTTCATCATATACCCACCCCAGTGTCGTTCCATTAATATTTTTTTAATAATATACTGTCACTTATTTCCTTTCGCTTGCATTATATGGGGACTAGAGCTTTCAAGCTTCAAAATAAATGCAAAAGCACCGTACAAGCAGTTTGTACAACTTGTGTGCTTTATTTCCAAATATTCTGAAGTCATGTATTATCTCTTTTGAGGCAAACAGACTAAATTTAAGTCGTTGTTCTTCAGATAATCAGACAGGATCATTTAATCAGTGAGTTGAACTTGAGAATCAAACAGTTCGATTCGTGAATGAATCATTTAGATTTTTGTGAACTATTTGCTGTAAGTGGATTTTGTTGTTTTTATCATTTTCCCGTACTGACTTCTAACATACAAAACTATTCCTTATTTTTTTAACCAAGGAAATATTGGAAATATTGTTGTAATTGATCATTTCATTGGTCTATCCTCTGTCCTCAATATCACTTTCCATTCATAATGTCCCTTTCACTAACAAAAGCCGCTTCTTTAATGATGTCATCCTCCAGGAAATTACATAATTTTTTAATGAGAAAACAGCAGCATAAACTATGAGTATTATTATCAAAAGATTCAATAAAATCTCCGATGTTGTTTAGTATTAGATATTTTTTCTCAGTAATTAATAAAATTCATCACATCCAAAATAAAAGTTTTTGTTTACATAATATATGAGTGTGTACTGTGTATATTTATTATGTATATTTAAATACAAACACTTACATGTATATATTTAAGAAAAATATGCTATGTTAATATATTAAATATATTTATATATAATTTAAAATATAATAAAGTTTTACTGTATAGTTATAGTTTTAGTAGTGTTAGATATTTTTTCTCGATACTATATTGAGATATATAATATATATATAATTTTTAGTTTCCTTTTTTTAGGTTTAGCTTTATTTACTTTTTTGTAATTTTTTTTATCATACTTTATACTTTTTATTACCCTTTATGCACATTTTTTCTTCATTTACTATTAGCTATTTATTTATTTATTTTTAATTTTTAAATAAGTTAAATGCACAAAAAGCTAAAGGACTGACCCAAATAATTACTTAAATTTCAGTCTGTTCCTCACATAAAGTTCTGTCACTTCAGAAGACTTGCAGTAGGTTTTTTTTTTCTTAAATTATATTAAAAACACTGATCAAGATAATTTGTTTCTTCAAAAATTCAGCTTTTGTTTTACTTAAAAGAAAGTCAGATGTGTTTGGGATAACATTAGAGTGAGTAAATAATGACAGCATTTACATTTTTGGATGAAATATTCCTTGAATCTGAGCATGAAACACTCAAAAACACCTTTAATATTTAATCACATACACGCATGTACACATGTTTCTAATGTGTGTTTATGAAGCAGGTCGGTGGGAGAGCAGTTTCGTACTATACACAGATTAAAACAGGAAATGGTCATTATATAAGTCTGCTTGTTATTTATAGGTCACTTTCAGTAGGAATGTGTGTAAGTTGTGCAAATGTTTTGCAAATCTTTGAATAGTTTTGTTTGTACTAAAATGTCATGAATGACTAGTAAAGCCTCAGTTTTAATGAGCAGGGAAAGTGCGTCTATTGATTTCTTTAACAAGGCCTCTCTGTCCTCCATCCTGCTGTGGAATCTCATTTAAATAACCCCCCAGTCGTCCGTCCGCCGGTCAGCAGTCAGTGTCTTATCGCCGGTCTCTGCCTGTGCAAACGCGCAGGAATCACGGCTGAGTGAGTGAGTGAAGGACACTCCGGGGTCCCGTCTCTGAGGCAGTGTGGGGACGTGGGCTTATGGACGAATGTGAGAGAGTAATTAGATGTCAGACTGGCTGTGTCCGGCGCTCCGAGGTCCTGAGGGACATGAGCTGCTAAAAGCATTTTCACTGGAGAAACTCACACAGGGAATGTAGAAGCAGAGAGAAAGAAGAGACCTGGGTCCGGTTCATGACGTGTTTTTCTTCCTGTTCAGAGCTGACTGATGCCAAAGTAAAGAGGAGTGATGATGCTGACATGTGTTAGGCCTGCAACATGGTCTGGGCAAGTATCCCTTATGAAAATGAACCATGGTTTTACTTTAGTAAAAGTGTAGTAGCCATGCTTTTTTGGCAGATTGATTGGCATTTGTATAACCACAGTTTTACTACAAATACCATGGTTAAACTATGGTTAGTGTAGCAAAACTATGGTTAATTTGTGGTTACCATAGTTTTACTGTTTTTGATTGGTCCAGACGCTACAACAATAACCATTTTAAAATTTTTATTATTTTTGTTTTGTAATGAAACCATGGTTCATTTTTGTAAGGGATACCCTTAATCAGGAAAAATATATTAAAAAATTCTGATTTGTTTTTAATCTAAAACTGGCCAAAATTATTATAATAGTAATAATAATGATTCTAAAACATTATTATAATAATAATTATTACTATATATATATATATTTATATATAATAATGTTTTTATGGGTGTTAATAAATCCTACAAAATTGTTTTGTATGATTTGTTTTTAAAAATATCTTGTACTGCCTTGAAAAGACTAATAATACTAATTAATATATATTTTTTGTCCTTACTAGATATCAAAAGTCTTATTTTATGTTTTTATATTATTTTATAATATAATGTATCTCAAAATATAAAAAAAATAAATATGTTTTATATAATGATGAGGATTATAATCACTTTATAAAACATCACTTTGAATGAATGAATGATGCATTTATATAGTGCTTTATTGTGTATTGCTGTGCACCCAAAGCGCTTTACAATCGTGTGGGGGGGTCTCTCCTCAACCACCACCAGTGTGCAGCATCCACCTGGATGATGCGACGGCAGCCACAGGACAACGGCGCCAGTGTGCTCACCACACACTAGCTACAGGTGGAGAGGAGAGAGAGCCAATCCAGTGGATGGGGATTATTAGGAGGCCATGATAGACAAGGGCCAGTGGCGTCAATTTGGCCAGGAGACCAGGGTTACACCCCTACTCTTTATGAGAAAAAACTTTGGGCCATATTACAAAAAATATTTTTGTAAGATTGAAATATTTTTATAGTCATGTGATTTTTTTTATTTTTATAATATATTTTTTAAAGATTTAAGTTGTATATATATATATAGAGAGAGAGAAAGAGAGAGTACTGCCCTGAAAAGATAGTCAGTAAATAAATAAATACATGCATACTATATTTTGTCTTTTCATAGTAGAAATAAAATAAAATAAAATAATTTATTTTTTTTATATATTTTATTTATGAAGTATATTTATAAAAAAATGTCCTTTCTAATGCATTTTAAAAATGTTTTATATAATAATAATAATAATCATAATTAAAAATTGTTGTTGTATTTTCAGGGCAGTACTGGATATAAAAACAATAAAAAAAATATTTCTGATGATGTCACAAATATGATATATATTTATATTCACATATAATCTGCAAGACAAGATATATATATATATATATCTATCAAATTACCCTAATCGTCTTAAGGTGCGAAGCTGAAAGTCATTGAGATGTTATGGGGAAGACCTCAAATGTGTAGTGCATGCTGGGAAACCAAAGAACTCACAGGATTCAGGATTTTTGTTTAGAAGCGCGGGCAGCTGCACTGTTCAAAACAAATCAAGACCATTTAATATGCATGATGTTCAGAGTTCACTGGCAGGCCATGAGCAGGAACTTTGTGGAGATTAAACTGCGACCTGTGAAACAGCACAGTTCATGGAGGTGAATTCTGCAGAATTCAGGCCTGTCTGTCTGGATATGCTGCTTATCTGTCCTTTTAAGGATACAGTGTTGTGCAAGTGGGTGGACTGGAACCTCTGGAGAGAGACTGAGCTTATTGTATTTATTTATTTATTATATTTAGCTATTAGGTCAAATGAACAGGGACGCTTTATTTTCACAGATTTCTGAAGAATAGTTTGAGACGTCTGTATAGCTGATGGCATTAGTCCAGTATGTAGAGTAAATATCCTGTTATATTGAGCCGGACATATGTAGTGCACAACCAGCCAGATCTCCAGTGGCTCCCCAAAAAACGTTGAGAAAGGTTTAACCATTTAACCAATAGGAGTGAAGACACTGGAGCCATGTGATGTGTCGAGTGGAGGCATAGTTTCCCAGAATGCATTGAAAACATGAAAATCAGTTCTGAGACGACCTGAAGTTGCTGTCAGGTGATTTGCATCAGCATCGCTCCTATAGAGAGTTCATTTAATGCGGTTTAGCTTGATTTCGTCACTGCGTTTGGTATGAAATGAGCAAAGCCTGATGCAAAAGCCTCTTGGTTCCCCATCTGGATTTTCTGAGCTTTCCAGATCCAAATATCATTCTGTTTTTTCCACATCTCCTGCCTCGCTCTCTTATGGTCTTGTTTGTATGTGAGTGTTTATAGTTGTCAGGAAATGACTGAGAACATACAATCTTTTGTAAATGCCGGACGTAAACCTACTCGAAGCCCCCTGACGGACACACTAGTGCAGGTCTCTGCAGCGCAGACTGTGTGCTCGCCACAGCACAAAATGTACCCGTGTTCGGTTGGTGGCAGCTGGTGATTTTGCATGTGTGACCAAAATGTACCATAGTAATGAAAACGTAACATTTATCTCTTTCTTTCTCAGGCCACGAAGCAGTTTTTGGAGGAAATCAACAAATGGACGTCCCAACACGGCGTCTCGCCATTGTCCTGGGACGTGGCTGTGAAGTTTCTGATGGCCCGCAAGTTTGATGTTCTGCGAGCGATCGAGCTTTTTCACAGCTACAGGGTGAGTGTGTAAACTTTAATATTTATATTTTAAAGGGGTTGTTGATTACGATTTCACTTTTTTAATGTTAGTTAGTGTGTAATGTTGCTGTTTGATCATAAACAATATCTGCAAAGTTACGAAGCTGAAAGTTCAATGCAAACAGAGATATCGTCTTTTAAAATTTTGGCAGTTTAATGCCTACAAAAACGACTGGTAAGGGACTAACCCCGCCTCCAAGCTAATCAATCAGAGCCCATCGTGTATTTCTGAGGGAGGGGCTTCATAAAAGCAGGAAATGATCAGCGCATTCAGAGGAGAAGGGAGAGAACGGTGTGGAATAAAGGTAAATTATGTGAGAAATAATGTGTTTTTTAACAAACGAAGCATTAACACATGTTAGACTGCACCCCATAAACACAATCAAGCCTAGAAAAAAAAAACAGTCAACCACCCCTTTAAAAACAGAATTGCTGAGAAAAACAAAAAAAAAAACATGAGGATAGAAATATCTATTCCCTTCTTGGACTGGGGGGAAAAAAACATAAAAATAATAATAAATAAAATTAATTAAGTAATTAATTAATAAAAACATGTTTTATTTATAAAAACTTTATATTTTATTTATAAAAACGTAAAGGGTTACTCCACTCCAAAATGAAAATTCTGTCATTAATTACTCACCCTCATGTCGTTCCAAACCCATAAGACCTTCGTTCATCTTCGGAACACAAATTAAGATATTTTTGATGCATTCTGAGAGCTCTCTGACCCTCCCATAGACAGCAATGTAAGTAACATGATCAACGTCCAGAAACGTAGCAAGGAGATCGGTAAAATAATCCATGTGACATCAGGGGTTCAACCGTAATTTTACGAAGCTACGAGAATACTTTTTGTACACAAAGAAAACAAAAATAACGACTTTATTCAACAATTCGTCACCGTAACGTCATTTTGTGTCAGCCACACCCCGCGGATACGTTTTCTACGTTTATTTACGCTTTGATTTGAAAATAACGTATCCGTGTGGTGCGGCTAACACAGAGCAGCATATGCTGTTTGCGTTCAGTGGATACTCTCCACAGTTTAAGGTTTAAGTTTCAGGTACCATTTTTAATTGAATTCTTTTTTTAAATACATAATTCAAAAGTTTTTAATGGCAATGAATAAACAAAAGTGGCTTTAGAAGTCATTATATTGTTTGTTTTATTTCGAAATCACTGAATATAAGCCTATAACTTGCCTACTATTAGAAAATATTTATTTTATAATTAATGACACTGAATTAGCATGTTAAATTGACAGCCTTGTTTTTTGGGTTAATTTTATACCAATTATAATTAGGTTTATTTAAAAGCAATGTAAGTTTACAGGAACAGAGACTTTTTTTATGAAGTGCAACTGAACTTAAAATGAGCAGGTTTTGTTTCAGATGTTAATTCAGAATTGAATTAGTGTCTGAATCTGGTTTGAGCAGGGACTGCTGTTGTTTGTCTGTGTGTCTGGGTTGGGCTGTTGTTAATTCACTCAGTAAAGATCGGCGTGGCGTCTGGGAGGTTTTCAGGTCTGACTCTGTGTGCAGCAGATTTAAGCTTTGGTTCTCCAGAACTCTGTATTTTTGGGTTCAGGCGAGGACGTGTTCAGAACATAAGCTGACATCTGTGTTCACAGAAACAAGCGCTCCTCATTCCTGATATCAGTAATCCAGACACGAGGAGTGAAAATCAGCCCAGAAAGACTTGACCCAAACAGTAGAGTGATGCTGATTTATTCTCTCTCTCTCTCTGTTTTTAATATTTCACTTCCAGGTTAATGTAGGTTATTGGCTTGACAAAAAAAATTATTTTGCAATTACCAGAGTGTCTGGCTGCATGTTATGGCTTTGTTTTGTTTTATTTTATTATTTTATTTTATTTTAATTCATTTGTTTGTTTGTTTTTGTTTTATTATTTATTTTGTGTGAGTAAGTATAGAATACATTAAAATATAAAATAAACTGAATATATAAATAAAATTAAACAAAATTAAATAAATATTTAGTAGACAAGTGATTAATAAAGGGTATATAATTAATTTAATTAGTTGATCATTATCACAAAATAAACCCCTTCATAAAACATGGAAGATAAATATGAAACATAATAAATATGTATCTCTGTTTCTCTTACAGGAGACACGTCTGAGGGAGGGCATTGTCAAACTGCAGCCTCACGAGGAGCCGTTACGCTCTGAGCTGTTGAGTGGGAAGTTCACTGTGTTGGTAAGTTCATATCACATCAGGGCCGTGTCTTCAGAAGGGCTGTTTATGCTCTTTAAATCTGGGATATGAGGTCAACGGTTCACAAATGAAGTTTCATTTCCACTCCGATAATTACAGCTGCAGAGTCACTAATCCAAGTTTCACTTCAACTTTCAGCCAGTTATTATAACCAGGTCAAGACAGAGTCTGCAAAATTCATTCTTCAAATATTTTAGCTTACTTTGCCTTGTGCTGCTTTCCTATTGGTCAGACGAGTGTACATTCTGACATCTGATTGGACGCTGCGGAGGCAGGACCCCTTTGGTTCATACTTCATTGATCCTCCTCATCTTCTTGTCTGTGCTCCTCACATCCTGCCATCTGTATTTATAACCCAGAGAGATGCACACAAGTCCCGTGTATCTCATGAGTCATCAGATTATTGGAATATGTTATTGACATAAATATTTAATAAATGCTAAAGCTGTGTGCTTGCACATACGGAAATGGGTCAGCTGAAAGCGATTAAACTAGATTTAGTGTCTTACTGAATGGCAGAGATAAATATAATGTTTCTTTACTGATTGGATGTGTTGGAGTGAGTCATCCTTCACAACTCAGTGAGACACGCTCTATTCTGCCCCCGTGTGTACACAATTAAAACTACTACCCAGAGGTGTCCTGCACTTATCTTGTTCCAGGAGGTGATATCAACTGTCCTGACCTTATTTTATTTTATATTATATTTTTATTTTATTTTTATTTTATTTTAGAAAATGCACAAAGTTGGATTAAAATTTTAAAACCACTGTATTATTTATTTGGAAGATTTTACTACTTTTATAAATACTGTTTTACTATTTTATTATACTGTTTTTTTTTATTTAATTTATTTATTCATTCATTTATTAATTTTATTATTTATTTTATCATTATAGTTTTATTTTAATACCACTGTATTTATTTGGAAGAACATACTGCTGTATGTTTGGATATTTATTCATTAATTTCTTCATTTATATATTCATTGTTTTTTGATTTATTATTATTTATTTTATCATTATAGTTTTTGTTAATTCCAAATTTGTTTAAAAAAAGTTTAAAAAAACAGACTATTTCAAATGTAAAACTACCATATTTATTTGGTAGAGCATTTTACTGTATGTTTGGATATTAATTTATTTAGTTATTCATTCCTTTATTCATGCATTTATTTTATTTTATTCTTATTTTTTATTTAATTTAATTCAGAATTGCACAAAGTTTTGCAAAAATTGAAAACTATGGTATTTATTTCTGAATTGCTTATGAATTGAATGCCAGTCTAAATTCGTGAATTAAACTTGCAATCAAGTGTGGTTGTATGACAGCAATTTTGTTTGTTGAAGCATTTATCATTGCATATTGCATCCCGTTTCAACATTTAGTATGCAGTACAAAGTAGTACACTAGCATTCCAAAGAGCTGAGACGACTAAACATGTAAACATTAAAAAATTAGATTTTGAGATGCTTTACACTGTGTTCTGGTATCAGGGTGTCCGGGACCCGTCTGGCGCATCCATCGCCCTCTACACGGCTAAACTGCACCATCCCAGCAAAACAGGAAACCACGTTGTTCTTCAGGCCCTGTTCTACCTACTGGACCGAGCTGTGGAGAGGTGACCAATATACACTACCTTTCAAAAGTCTGGGGTCAATATGTTTGTTTGTTTGTTTTATTAAACTTTTATTTTAACTTTTTATTCATCAAAGAATCCTGAAAAAAAAATTATCATGGTTTCCACAAAAATATGAAGCAGCACAACTCTTTTAAACATTGATAATAATCAGAAATGTTTTTTGAGTAGTAAATCAGCATATTACAATGATTTCTGAAGGATCATGTGACACTGAAGACTGGAGTAATGATGCTGAAAATTCAGCTTTACATCACAGGAATAAATTACATTGTAAATAAATAATAAAATAGAAAACGGTTATTTTAAATTGAAATAAAATTTCACTATTTCTGTTTTTACTGTATCTTTGATCAAATAAATGCAGCCTTGGTTGAGCATAAGACACTTCTTTCAAAAACATTAAAAATCTTAATTATTCCAAACTTTTGACCATTGTGTGAAACCAGAGATTTTGACTTCAGAAAATGGCTCATTATCATGAGTTGCAATATTATAATTCTCTCTTTCTTTCCTGTAGTTTTGAGACTCAGAGGAATGGACTGGTCTTCATTTATGACATGGCTGGATCCAACTACACAAACTTTGAACTGGACCTCAGCAAAAAGATCCTCAGTTTGCTCAAGGTGAGATTTGTGATTCATCTGTGTGCGGTTTTCCTGTGTCTGAGAGTTGGTGGGTTTTTGTGTGGTTTAGATGTCAGAGTAAATCAGAAAAATCTGTCCAACCATTTGCTTGTTGGTTGCAGGGTGCGTTCCCAGCACGGCTCAAGAAAGTGCTTATTGTTGGAGCTCCTGTGTGGTTCAGGGTCCCGTATAACCTTTTGAGTCTGTTACTGAAGGAGAAGCTCAGAGAACGGGTTGGTATACACACATATTTGGCAATAGCTGATTTAAATCAAAACCAACGGAGGTTGGACCTGATAAACCATCTTGGTTAACCAGGTTAGAGCTGGTAACGCTCTGGTTAACCACCTTAAGCTGACCTGGTTGTCTCTGGTCTATGTGCTTAACCCACTTTTCTCATCTTTTGTGGCCATATTAGCTATGTTTCCATCCACCTATTTTTATGTGCATTTTGGAATATCGTATTAAAAAACGCTGGATGGAAACGCCAAGATGCGCATAAAAAAACCTATGCGCACAATTGAGTAGGATAAACTTTTTATCCAATAAGAGAAAATGCGCATAAACTATGATGGAAGCACTTTTACCGAATAAATTTCTTAATGCGCATCAAAAAAGACATGTGACTTTGCGATGGGACAGAATAAAACTGGACCAACCAACGGACCAATCTCATTGCACAGCATCTGAAATGCTAGTTTCGTCATTCTAAAATGCTTGAGCAAAGTCTCGTCTAAGTGCTTCGTTATAATTCTTATTATAACGTTATAAACTCCCAGAACTGCGTTCCCAAACAGCAGGCTCCGGAAATAAGATAACATGACCGCGTTTTGTCTGCGTTCTGAAGCTCGTAATTTATTGTATACAAAAAATTATTATATACAGTGCCTTCTCGAATGTAATTTTTCTTCATGATATTTAGTGCAAGTTAATCAGGAAGTGACGATTTTGTTCTCGTCAAGTCTGGATGGAAACAGTGCTTAATAGGGCTGTCAAAAAAAATTTTTCCGAATATTCGTCGAATTTAAAATAAAAATCCACATTCGAATGCAGCGTTTTTGCATTTGAATGTGGATTTTTATTTTAAATTCGACGAATATTCGGAAAAAATATTTTTTGTTGTTTTTTTAAGCACTGTTTTTATACACTCACGTTTCGCACAAGAGAGCGGCATGTTTAGAAAGCCATGTAAAATTAATATAAGTTTAATATCGAGATTTTATGGCGGTTTTTCCCCCATCCCACTGCATCTCATGTTTATGAAAAAAGTACTCTGTGATTGGTTTTCGGTCCTTTGTATTAAACTTATACATACATACATGCTGTTTTGTTTCTAATTGTTTAAGCTACTTAATAATTATATATGGTTTATAGACATTATTTTAAAAATTATGCACTTTTTTTAAAGATAGTCATGTTATTTTATTGCTTTGAATAAACATGCATTAGTAATATCTTGCTTGATGCGCCCTCTTGTGGCCTCAGGAGAGAAGCCAAAAGCTTTTTTTCCCCCTAACTGAAATTATGCCTTTTAAATTCGAATTGTGATAATATTTAAGTACAAAATTCGTTATTTAGTTTTTCAGCCATTTTGCCAGCCCTAGTGCTTAATTCGCACATTTTTTATGCGATATTCCAGTTTTGCGCATAAGTTAAATTCGCATCTTTGGATGGAAACATAGCTACTGTCAGTTTCATTATTTCTAAACAATCTGTTCTCAGGTTCAAATGGTGAAGATGTCCGACCTGCGACAACATCTGCCCAGAGACTGTTTACCTGAGCACCTGGGCGGCTGTTTGCCTCTGGACGTGCACAGCTGGAACCTGCAGCTGCTGTCCGAGCAGAACGGACGTGTGGACCCTGTGGACGAGCTGGTGGGGATTCCTCTGGAGAACACATCCATACACGTCCCAGGACCTGAGGCCATGGGTCTGGCCGAGCTCATGGCCCACCTGAACCGGGCCCAGCGCAGCGGGATCTACCTGGAGTATGAGGAGCTTCGCAGAGAGCAGCCACCTGGAACCTTCACCTGTGCACTGTGAGTGTGGACTTAATAATGAGAGGTGTTTTAGAGGAAAACAGAGTTTGATTTGATGTTGTCTTTGAACTTCTGCAGGGCTGCTCACAACCAGGAGCGGAATCGTTATGGCGACGTGCTGTGTCTCGATCAGACTCGTGTGCGACTCAAAGCGAGGAGAAACGAGGTTTGTGCTGTCTGATGTTATTTAGTTTTGGCCGATCTACACTGCCATTCAAAAATTGGGGTCGGTAAGGTTTTTTTTAATGTTTTTGAAAGATGCTCAACAAGGCTGCATTTATTTAATAAAAAATACAGCACAATAATATTGTGAAATATAATTACAATTTAAAAGAAATGTTTCGATTGTAATATATTATAAAATGTAATTTATTCCTGTGACGCAAAGCTGAATTTTCAGCATCATTACTCCAGTCTTCAGTGTCACATGATCCTTCAGAAATCATTCTAATATGCTGATTTGCTGCTCATGTGCTGCTTTATATTTCTGTAGACACCATACATTTTTTCAAGCTTCTATAATGAACAGAAAGTTCAAAAGAACTGACCCAAAATTGTTTGGACACTGATCATGATTTCTTTCCACAGAGATCAGACTACATAAATGCCAGCTTCATGGATGGATACAAACAGAAAAATGCATATATTGGGACTCAGGGTAAAAATAATCATCTATTTATATAACCCATCATATTTAGGATTATGATTCTTAATCTGCACTGGAACTGATGTGTCTGTTTCTTAACAGGTCCATTGGAGAAAACCTACGGGGATTTCTGGAGAATGGTTTGGGAGCAAAGTGTGCTTGTCATTGTAATGACAACAAGGTGAGATGTCACAGAGAGTCTAGTTAACAAATATAGAGGAAATGATGTGTAGTCCTCCATAGCCAGACGTTTTACTATCACAAGAATGTCTAGTCCAAATTGCCACTTATTCAGGCCAAACTCCACCCACTTAAAAAGGAAGAGGTTTTCTGACCAACATAAATAGAGTGGCCAACCACTATTTGTTCGTCTTATGTGATGGTTCACATAAATCACATTTAACCAGAGAGTAGAATATAATGTACAGTTGCGCTCATGCTTGCTACTAAATGTTTTTTTTAGATTCAGTGGCACAAACTTTGTTCTCAGAAGTTCTCATTGTAGCAGCCTGGGAACATAAATACAACTTTGTTTCTTATTGGGCTGATAAAATGAAGCCTGACTCCTAGAATTATGTAGAAGTCAGCCAATCAGATTTGAGCCACTTACTAAAAAGTTATTCTGTAGAACCGATCTGTTCTGAGATCAGATTAGAGCTGCGGCATATGGACGCTGTCTCGGTAGATTACGAAGACTGCTGCTTAGAGATCTGTGTGTGAATGTGTGTGTGCGCAGGACGGACGAGGGGGGCCGGAGGAAGTGTGGACAGTACTGGCCCAAGGAGGAGGGCGGTCAGGAGGTGTATGGGCACATCGCTGTGGTTAATCACAGAGTGGATAAACAAGCACATTACAACCAAACCACACTTGAGCTGCACAACACTGAGGTACCACACATCTACCAGTTTTTGTTTCAATGTTTTCAATAAACAACAAGTCACTAATGATGATTTCATATATGATTTATATAATGATTTCAATCTCACCACTTAATGTGGCTGTAGTATTGCTGAGTAATATTACTAGAAAATTATATTTAAATATTTCATAGCATTTTAATGGTATTTGAGCTCTGTCTGTATGTATGTATGTATGTGTGCTGTCTTTATGTATGTATGCTCAAAACCACTTTTAAGCATAATTTTAGCCCAATATTATTTTGTTGCATTGTGGTTTCAAAATATAAAAATACAATAAACATCTAGTTACATAATTTCAAGCTATTTAATCCACACAAAAAAAACATTAAAATACTTGTTTATATGCACCAATATAACAATGCATAGTTATAAGTTGCAATATAATTATTTAGATAGATAGATAGACAGATAGATAGATAGATAGATAGATAGATTTAGACTGCCAACTCAGAACTAAAATATAACTTTCTTTTGCTCTGGTGCTGAATATTGTGGTTCTGTATATCTGACTTTGAAGAAAAGTAAAATGGAACTTTGTCTGAACTTTTGTTGTTTTTTCCCAGACATTCGAACAGAGACAGGTGACACATTTTCAGTTCCTCAGCTGGCCTGATTACGGGGTCCCATCCTCCGCGCTGTCTCTGATTGACTTCCTGGGTGCCGTGAAGCACCAGCAGCAGTGGGCGGTCCAGGCTTTCGGCTCACAGTGGAGGGGTCATCCGCTCGGCCCGCCCATGGTGGTCCACTGCAGCGCTGGCATCGGCCGGACCGGTCAGTCATTAAACGAACCACAAAAACAAATCTACATATTAATGAGCTGCTTTAAAGTTCTAGCCAAAAAGGAAAATTCTGTCATCATTTGCTAAACTTGTATGACTGACTTTCTTCTGTGGAACATGAAAGATAGTTTGAAGAATGTTGGAAACCAAACAGTTACCAAAATATAATGGAAGTCAATAGGAACCAAAATTATTTGGTGACTAACATTCTTCAAAATGTCGTCTTTCATTTTCCACAGAAGAAGGTCATACAGATTTATTAAATGAACATTAAATAATATATTTTGGATTTTAATAAGAGTTTTGGGATATTGGTGACCAAACAGTTTTGGTTCCCACTGACTTAGGGTGGCCATTTGTGCCATTTATATGGGACACGTCCTTGCCAGGATTTTTATATTGCCTAAAACATCCAAAGTAGTTTAACCAATAACATGCAGGTATTGTACATAATCGAAAGCGTGGACGCGTGAGAAGTTGAGATCTACAGAGAACTATCAAAACCATGCAAATACGCGCACATGTTTGTTCGTTCGTTCGACTTGAAGCGTCGCTGCGCACCGATCATTGTATGACACCAAAGTACTGCGAGAACGATTCGAATGCATAAGGAGCCGTCTGCTCTGCTCTGGATAACCTGGATATTTTAGGCAATATAGAAATCCTGGCAAGGACACGTCCCGTAAAAATGGCCCGTATGGTCACCCTACATTGACTTCCATTGTGTGGACAAAAATGCAATGGAAATCAATGGGAACCAAAACTATTTAGTTACCTTGCCAGGATTTTTATATTGCCTAAAACATCCAAAGTAGTTTAACCAATAACATGCAGGTATTGTACATAATCGAAAGCGTGGACGCGTGAGAAGTTGAGATCTACAGAGAACTATCAAAACCATGCAAATACGCGCACATGTTTGTTCGTTCGTTCGACTTGAAGCGTCGCTGCGCACCGATCATTGTATGACACCAAAGTACTGCGAGAACGATTCGAATGCATAAGGAGCCGTCTGCTCTGCTCTGGATAACCTGGATATTTTAGGCAATATAGAAATCCTGGCAAGGACACGTCCCGTAAAAATGGCCCGTATGGTCACCCTATATTGACTTCCATTGTGTGGACAAAAATGCAATGGAAATCAATGGGAACCAAAACTATTTAGTTCATGAAAATTCTCCTAAATATCTTCTTTCATGTCCCACAGAAGAAAGGAAGTCATACAGGTTTGGTAAATGAAATAAAAAGAAGACATTTTGAAGAATGTTGGGATGTTGGTAACTAAATAGTCTCGATTCCTATTGACTTCTGTTATATGGACAAAGAAGACAATGGAAGTCAATGGGAAACCGAAACGATTCGGTTTCCAGCAGTCTTCAAAATATCTTCCTTCATGTTACACTGAATAAAGAAAGTCATACTGGTTTGAAACAACACTGGGGTTAGAAAAGGATCATAGAACTTTCATTTTTGGGTGGACTGTCCCTTTAATGGCTTATCAGACTGACTTCCTCTGCCCACAGGTACTTTTTGTGCGCTGGATATCTGTCTGTCCGAGCTGCAGGACGTCGGGACTCTTAACATTTGCCAGACGGTTCGACGGATGAGAGCGCAGCGTGCCTTCAGCATCCAAACACCCGAGCAGTACTATTTCTGCCACACCGCCATCCTCGAGCATGCCCAGAGACAGGGCCTGCTTTCAGCCAATCAGTGAGCAGCAGGGCCCACTCGTAGCCAATCAGAGACCAAAAAGGTCCAATCTGAACCAATCAGTAAGAGGCAAGGCCTGCTCTCATCCAATCATAAGACAAGGCTTGTTCTTGATTGATCGGCGACTCTTAGACAGGATAATTGATTAATCTGTCATTATTAAAAGACGGGCAGCATAAATAGTAACCATAAATGACTCCGTATGAAGGGGGTGTCTAAATGTTCAGTGATCCTGCTGTAGTGTAGTCTATGTAATGTTGTGCTGCATTTAGTGCAGTTTATTCTGTGAATTTTATCCAAATTGTCAAAATTCATATTTCACATGAAGCTTCAAATCAGCTGCGCTCAGATGTGATTCAGGACAAACGAACATACAATTTCTAGAATTTATTTGTCATTCTGTAGGTCTTTTTATTCCATAACACCTCAGACCAACAGTCCGTCCACGTGTTTAATTTGGCCAAAAATGTAAATTCTGTTTTTTACTCACCCTCATGTCATTTCAAATCCATTTTACTTGCTTTTTTCTGTATAACAGCGAATGTCATTCTGCTCCTTTTGTGTTTCACAAAAGAAAGGAAGTCATACATGTTTGAAATGACTTGACGGTGAGTTTTATACTCCCATGGGATGCAGTCATTGCACACTAGAGATTTTTATGTATTTGCTGGAATTGAATGCAGATTGTCAAAATTCTGCTTGTATTCTGTATCAGGAATGTCTCTGTAGTTTGTAGGCCATTTTTTGCAATTGCATCTGAAGATGATGGTTTAGAGACAGCCAGGATGAGGAAAAGTCTTCTCACATCAACTGGGTGGATCGGTAAACCTCTATAACACAACAATTACTCAACTGATATAGTCTTTTTTTTTTTAGTGTAGTGTAAATGTGAGATGGCTACATTGATTAATTTACACTTGTAATAATTTTGTCTGTTAATATTGTACTAAAAACCTGTTTAAAATATCTAAACGCTCCTGTAAAGTGCATTTAGAAACGCTTTTTATTTTGTTGTGGGTTGAAAGAGTCTTTGCTACTGAATTCATATTGAATTTCCTTGTAGTGAAGCATCTGTACACACTCCCAGTGATTCCAGGATCTGCAGTCCTGCCTTGATGGGCACACAATGTGACCAATTTTTCTATTATACCCACGCTTTGTTTTCACTTATTACTCCCAAACATATATACGTAAATTATATTTTCTTTTATATCCAATTTTATCTTTAATTTCTTCTTGTTACTTATATCAATGGAAAAACTAACCTGTAATGTCAAGCTTGTGATTCTCAATAAGTTCACAGCGGTTCTTTTAGTGATAAAGTGCTTTGCTCTGCAGTTAAAAAGCCTTATTCTTTCTGTATGTTTGAATTGAGTGAAACGTTTATGTGAAAAGACTGTACAGGTTTCGGCTGTCTTGGTGTCCATCTCGAGCTCAAAACCGAGCTGTTCAAACTGCAATATCATTTGAGCAAAACCAAATCAAAACCTTAATTCAAATTAATAAAGTTTATGAAATGGACAAACTATATTAACTGCGTGTTTTAATTCAACCTTTCACAACTACATAAAAGGTCCTGTAGTGATTTCTAACAGGTGTATGTTAACAAACGAATGCAAATGTGTGAAAATATATGCTCTGCCTGTTTTTTTTTTTTCTCTCTCTCACACAAGGTATCAGTTTTTAAGACTTTATTAATATTAATGCTAACCTTTATCTAGTATAATATAATTTTGGTACATAAAACAACAACAGAAGTTGGTAAAAAGTACTGCGAGTTTTTTTTTCGTCTAATACCACATAAAATGGTAGATATCACTTAAATACCTGTTGCAGAAAAAAACTGAGCAAGGGGAGTGGCCCGCACTTATTCAGCCAATCAGAAACATTCTTTACCTGTCAACATTTTAAGCATCCCTCGCTGTACTGCCTTTCGAAGGCGGGATTTCGACGAGGGGCGTGTTCTAACTCAGTAATAACGGCGGAATTTAGCAAAGCGTTAACATAAGTATCACATCTCTGTCAGTGGCAAATAGTCGAATCCAAACGGTGTTCTTTAAAAAAAAATATTGCTCCTTTTCTTTGCTTTAAGCTATTTAAAATATGCTAACACACATTGTTGCGCCTCTAGTGTCATTTCAGAGTAAATATTAAACCAAATTACAAAGAAAAACATCTAGTGGAATACTACAGGTGTGCCTAGTAGTACATCCAAAGAACTTATACTGGTCTTCTATACTCTTTGGTACACCTCTGTGTCTATATGCATTTGGCGGGTCGTATTCAAATCCAGTTGACGCATGCGGTCACGTAGACCAATGGGAGGAGAGGGGGGCGTTCCCAACTATTTGTTCCAAACACGAATCCGGAGTGCGAGGCTCTTTTTCGCAGGTATGTAGCAGCTGGGCAAAAGAAAACAAATGTATGTTGTCCTCTTTTGATCGAATATACGTTTCTGTCGGTGTTTGAGTGCTTTCTGCAGGGGGCTGGTCGTTCAGGAGATTTTAGTGCATTAATCGGGCTGTTCGTTCGATCATGGCACATTAAGGGGAGAAAAGGGGGCAAAGCTTTGGCTAACTGAAGCAGCAAAGAAACGTGTATCTCTGTGTTATGAGACACAAACCCATCTGTGTGTGTCCGATGCTTTCCCGGGGGCTTTTCTAACTTGTTTTTGATCTGAAAGCAGATCTGTAGCTCTGTCTG